GATGGTGACAGCAACACCTGGAGTTGTAAGGGTGCCAGAAACAGTGTTGTGCTTGTCCAGGACTAACTGAACTGCCACAGCCCCCCAGTATGGGGTGAGCCATCCTTCAAGTCAAGTGGCTTGAGACCCAGGAACAGCAACCCGTCAGTGCACCTCAGACACCTGCTTGGTTCCAATTTAGGGTTTGCATCCTATGGTTTTCATTAGCTGCCCATGGGTAATCACTTGTGGTCTCTTACTCTCGCCTCTATTTGTGCAGAATGGAGAAGGCTTTTACAATTCAAAGCAGGCTCTGGCATGTCCTTTCCTCAAGGGAAACCAAGAAAGGAAGTACCAATGGATGCTTAGAATTGGAAACAGGGCATAGGAAAAGTAGCTCTTACCCGCTTGTGTCATTCCTGCTTCTGAAAATCAGTAGTTTAGGGACTTCCTAACTTCCGAACCAGACACTGCATCTAGATGAGCATGTGTCAGAGACTTAGTTAAGCCTAGCTCCCTTGAATTTGTCTATTTTATTTTTGAACATATTTATTTATATTTTGGGGTTTTAGAACATCCTGTGGCAACGAGTTCATATGAAAATATATTTCCTTCTGTTCTTTTTTAAACCCTGCTCCTAGAGAAACTGACTGAATTAATATGCTATTATAAGCAGTGATAATAACCATTTTCTCTTCACTTTACTCCCACCTTCATTATTTTCCAGACCTTTATGTATCCCTTTCCTGTTGCAGTACAGAATGCGAGCCCCACTCTGGCTCCTGTTTATTCTAGGATTTTTGAATGATATGAAGGCTTTTCAGAGTCAAGCTATTAGCAGTGACAAGTCTTCTCTTAACTCTAACCTTGCCTCTCTGCTTAAGAACTGTTGGATAAATAAGAGCATAATGCAAACTCGGAAAAGATGCATAATTATTTCCACACAGGAAGTTTGCAGTTGATAGTTCGGTGTCACAGACAGAAATGACTAGTCTAACGTGCTGTGAACTAAGTCAGAGCCAAAGCAATTATCTAAGGCCTGTGAACCCTCAGGGTCAACTATATTCTCTGCTATCATGTGTAATGCCAGAAAAGTTCCCTGACAAACACCAGCCATCAAAAACACTTCTTCCTCTCAAACTCCATGTCACTAGTTTCCAAAGTGGCCTGTGGTTATATCCTGCTCACCTTCACATTCCCTCAAAAATAGTACAAGGGTGCTGGGCACTACTGGTTCAGCAAGCTGGTGTTAAGGATTACTGAAAACTTGGCACAGCTCCATTTGTCAGTACCCTGATACAGTCCTTAATGCAAACCAGGTGAAGGGAAACGTCAAACGGTGTATTTGCAAAAATCCAAATACAAGCAACACGTTTGCATTGCTTATCCAAAGCAATACACAGAATTGAAAAGGAAGAGGGTACCCAGGCCGTTTGCAGACCTGGGAGAGCAGCTGGCTGCGCTCTGGGAGAAAACCAGGCACAGGTGCTGGGATTGAGCCCAGGGCCCCCATTCCCAGCTGGCACGCTGAAAGAGGCTTCCCGCTCTGGGAGAGCTGGATGTTCCTCGGGAGGAGAGGCCGCGGAAAGGGGAGGAGGTTGTTCCCTTGGCACGACAGGAAAGCACTGCTCAGCCACTGCTGAGCCAAAGGGGAATGGAGGCTTTTTGTTGATATCTGTTGGGTGCATTTACTCTTTCAGCTGTTGGACTAGTGATTAAAAAAGAAAATGACTGATATATGTCATACTGGAATAAGCGTGGGGCTTGTCACCCTAACAAGCAGTCTGGAGGGCTTATCTTTACCTGTTACTCAGATTTGTCCCAACGAGTTCCTCTCACTCTATCCAGCTGATGAACTGCTAGATATTTGCAACCCCAAGCTAAGGTTCCGGTTTGTACACAAAGTTCCCTCTTAAAGCTGCTTTCAGAGCACCTGGTTTGGGGGACTTTATTTCCCCTGGATACTGATCAAATCCAATGGTAAAGCTCTTTTATGTCAACTTTGTATTTTCTTAGATACACATATAACTTGTTAGTCGCATTTTATCCACTCGCATAACCAGGATTAAAGGATGTAATGCATTGCTGAGAAAATAACTAATCACTTTAAGGTAACAGGACGTTTGGGGGTGAATGCCTCCTAAGTCCATCTCTAGGGGATACTATAATAGTAATAAAGTGAATAGAGGCCTAAGACAGGCAGGAGAGGGGTTGCTGATTACATGGGAAAGTCCAGACAAAGCGTCTTCTGTTTCTGATGCCTGAAATTCAGCTGCCTAAGAAAAAGACAGGATACTGGCAAAGCACCACTGGGATGTACTTGTGCTGATGGCTCTTTGTTGTTTTTCTATAGTGTCACATCACATTTTACCAGGTATTTCTCTGCAAGATTCTCATATACCTACAAATCAGTCCAAACCAAGTGTTGTCAACACAGCTGCCGCTTCACTTGCCTTGGAGGTTGCCATTCTTTCTGTGTCACAAGAACAAATATAGAAATGTTAGTTTTTGGCACTTTCCAACGCCTTTATGATATTATCTGGCAAGCAGCAGCACGTAACTGTGCTTCTTCCTTTACCAGTCTGTGTCTGTGAATGCCACTGATAGCAAAGGGACACGGCATGCATATGCATGTGTAGGATTGGGGCCCAACGGCTTAGGTCCTGCTGAGGTCAAGGCACAGACATCCAGACAAACACTGATTTAGAAAATTTACAGTATAGAGGATGGTTGTAGAAAGGGAAAGCGCGCTGACCATTCCAAAGGAACCAACTCCTTTTTTAAATCTCTTAATCTGCTTTTCATTATCTCTGTGGGGAGGCCTCTTGAGAAAAGCAGCTCTTTGACTTGAATAAAGGAGGGGCCGTGGGCTTGCACGCTGGAATGGGGAGGTCATTGTACGGCAGCACGGAAGATGGGAGTGTTAGTCAGGTCAAGGAGAACAGGATAAAAAAGTGTGAGATCTGTGTTATGGGCTCTGTCTGGATTATGTAAGGTAGAAAGTTTAAAGCTGAAAGGTAAACAAGAGAGAGCGATCCAAAGGTTGGAAAGACATATTCTGGTAGGGTAATTCAGGCTGATTGAACTGTTAGGGAAAAATATGAGCCGGGACTGATAAGATCATCAGTAAAACCAGCAAGAAAGAAGTAACAACAGCTGAGGCCCAGGAGGGCTAAATTCTGCACAGGAATTTTAAGCATCAGACTTCAGCAAATCAACCTATCCCTCTTCAATATCTTTCTTATTTGTTAACAGAAATGCTTAGTTCTGCTTCCCTCCTCAGGGGCAGACAAAGCCGGAATATGGCTGGGGGACAATGGGACTCCGTAGCGTTTTGCCTGCTACCAAGTCATACAGCTGTGTGCATGTGCTGGCTGTAATCCTCTCCCCTCCAAACCACTGCTCATCGCAAGCAGCCTCAGCCTCGCCAAACCCCTCAAGAAAGTTGCGTTATTCCCACTAAAACGGCCCTTGGAACTAGCCCGTTTTGCTCCTTTATAGAATACAAAGGTAAAAATGCTCCTAAAATAGTGTGCTGACCTTCGGCTGTTTTTTTAATGGACGCAAACTGAAAGGTATCTCTGGTTTGCATGGACCTTCTGTTGTTCAAGCGCTCCTATAACACTGTCTGGCTTTACCAGGAATGTGCAGATATATAAGGATTGCAGGATCGGGGCTACAAAATCCGGGATAGGGTGGCGGGGAGGGGGGGCCTCCCCTGGTCGTCTGCTTTTCTTGTCTTGCTTCTTGATGGGTTTATAAAAGCAGAGAGGTGGCAGATTTAGGGCTTTTACTGACAGTAACACAACATTTGGTGTTTTCTTAAAGACCTAACTCTGAGAGGCAGATGATGGCAAAAGACTGTCGGCTTTCTGTGTTTCTGATTGCAGACAGGAACTTGCAAACCTTACAGACTTGAAAAAAAAATTGGAGGCAAAGCATAACTCTAAATATGTATTTTTTAAAGCCTGTCATTCATAACATGAAACTGGCACACTCAGAGGCAAAGCAGGTTATCTTAAATACAGCATTGGTAATTTTGTAGCAAAATCTCAGACCTTCTCCTATCAGCTGGATCTAACAGGTGCGTTTTGGACACTAGAGCTTCCTCCTCTCCTTTTTTTTTTCCTTCAGATTTCTCAAGGTCTGAATCAATTTACTCGCTATAGCAACCTTTTCCCCTTTTCGCAGCCTGAGCACCGCCTGTCCTCCCTCCCCTGCTTGATCCTGTCTTGGCCAGAACCTTCTCTCCTTTTCCCCATGTCCTCCTCCAGCCCGGCAGACCAGCAGCGCCCCAAAATCCCGCTTTGTGCCGTGATGAGGCATCTTTTCCGCTTGTTTCACGTAAGCTCCACCTGCTGGATAAAGCTTGAATCGGTGTGATTTTCACGGCGAACTGCAAATGCTAGCTTTTCATCAATTTGAAAAGATTCGCAAAATTATCTGTTGGTGCTCTCCCTGCTCTCCCGGCTGCGTTCTCCTTGGCTGCCTGCGTGGCAAATTCAATTAACGACCACCACAATATGTTATTTTGTATTGCTAATTTGGGTGAAGCCTATGCAATCTTTGAAAATACCGCTTTTTGACTGGAATTTGAGCAGGGTGATTACCCTTGGATCCGGAGTGGCTGTTTACAGCACGCTGTTACCCTCATGGAGATCTCTGGAGTGGCTTTTCGCCGCGCTGTGGGAGAAGGTGCCCGGGGCAGGGCGCTCCCCAGCTGCTGCTCCCGTCCAACCGCTGCCTTTGGCACGTTCACAGACCGGGCCGAATCTGTGGCCTGGGCGTACACAGGGAGCAGGTCTGTGATCCAGCCACCACTTCAACCTTTGCCTTTGGGCTCCAGCATTTACACAGAGCGACAGGCTTCAGTGTCCTGGGAGCCCCTCCTAGAAATCTGTGATGGTGAATGGGAGCGTTTTTTAAGGAACTACTAATAATCTGTTGGTTTTCCTCTTTCGAGTGGAAACCTAATGCAACTTGCTACACAGTAATGTCTTTTCTTTTTTTTTTTTTTTCAGATTTACACTGAAGAGTGGTGAATAAAGATGAGGTTAATCCGGCATTGTTAAATCTATTCAAGGAGACAACCTGGAGATTGCCATGGAAACAGGTTCTACAGACGAAAAGCGTAATCCTACTTTGAAATACTGTATATGGACCTTTACCACTGCGTGGCTTACAGAGTCACACTGTACACAAACATGATGCTGCAGCAGAGGAATGGCAAACCTGTCTCCCGTCTCATCCAGTGATAATTATGCTGCCACATCCTCCCACTTACAGCCCAGAGCATCACGCATCGCATCTCCTTCCCCTCCACCTGCTGAATCTTCTCCCCCCAGCCCCCAGCTCGGTTGTCACCTGGGTGTAAGAGGGACCCGAGGCCCTGCCTGTGGAACCAAGGTGGTGGCTCTGGCAGGAGCATCACAGATTTGGTGTTGCCACAAGTGAGCACCTCACAAGCTACAGGACAACTGACCACGTGTCTGAAGTCAGGAGTGAGGGTCCCAGTATCCACCCTCCAAAAAAATCAGCAGGATCTAGGGAGTGCTTCCTGGGACGTGGCCTCAGGGAACGGGTGACCACTGTGGTGAGCATGGAGGGGTGCCCCCTCCTGCCATGCAGGTATTTTTGGCAGGTCACAAAGGAGCGCTGTTCTCCATATGCACCTGCCCACCACCCTCCAGAGCTTGTTAGATGGTGAAGAGGGAAAGGACAGCAGCAGGTAAGAATTTCATGTAACTATTTACTATGGGAAACCCGTTGAGCTGTGAAGCAAGAGATTTTCTGGAAGAGAATACTGCATATATATCTAGCATACAGGTATACATAGATTTATATATATATCTCAAACCTTAGTTTTGCTCCCTTTTCATATTGACATTTGCCCCCAATTTCTGGACACATCTCTAGACTTCTCAAAGGAATTAAAGGTTCATCTGCTCCTTTTTCAGGTCTATGCAAGTAATGCACAGATGTAGGCGTGCTCTGTGCCTTTATAGGCCTTACACACATACCTCTTTTAGACAAGTAAAACATTCTTGCTGTTTTCATATCACTGGGCTGTGCTCATCTATCAGTAAAATACGCGTTTCGATATTCCCACAGCCTGTAACAGGCATCACAATTTCCTGTTATTTGGTAATTCCTGTTTTGTAATTGTTTAGAAAAACTCTCACTTTGCTTTTGCAAAATTTAACATTCACGGGAAAAAAACTGATGTTTAATAATAAATAGTAATCTTAATTTTGTTTAAATACTATATTTATTTTAATAATTCTCAGATCCTTATTAAATGCATCTAGAAAAAAGGGTTTGTTGTTTTTAGTTTCTCACCCCGTTCGTGCCAGTAAACACATCATTTTCAATGAGATGGCTGACAACTTTTCCAAACAACATGGTTACTCTAAGAACCAGGGCTAAAATGGCTGTAGCGGCTTAAGTTTTTTAAAAACAACCCCCGAGTAGCTATGTGTATCGTGGTTTATTTTGGGGATGAGTGTTTTCTTTGTAAACTCAAAGGCTGTCGGTCTGGATGGAGTTAAAGATGCTTTCCTTTAAAAGAAAAACTGACTCACATGGAAGCCCATGTATCACCTACAGCCACTGGGCCTTTTCATGTCAGAGCGATTCGTACAACTACTTGAAAATTATTAATATTTTGTCTTTTCTTAAGTGTTATTTCACAATGCTTGGTAAATGCACAAAAATCAATTAGTATTTTGAAACTGTAGCCATTTCGGAAATTTTCAGAGAGTGTATTATAATTCCTTTTCATATACAGTAGAAAATCATGTAACTTCCAGGTATAAACAAATCTGGAACAAAAGACTGTACAAAAACATAACGGATTCAGCTCTGAAAAGGCTCATGCATGTACATTGTCTGCTACCCTGAATACTAATGAATTTAATGAAACTATTGAAAGTCTGGTTACTTGTCTGCATAAATGTATTGAGACCTCTGTAATCATCTGTTTGCTGTCTGAAATCTCTTGTCAATAGTTTAATGACTTCAGAGCATATTATTCTCCTTGTATAGGCTTCATATAATGTTTCTACATAATTAAGCAGCTTTGTTAGAGGAACTGCCATTAGTTGCCCCATTTCATTTGGTTTTGTTATCAGCCAACCAGAAAGAAAAAAGAACAACAAGAGAAGGCTACAAACCCAGTCTAGTGAGAGAAATGTGTAGATTGGGAAGATGGGGTTTTTTGTTGTTGTTTGGTTGTTTTTTTTAACATTGCCATATTAACATAAAGCGCTATTGTTAAGTTGCACATTTTAAACAATTTTAACCATTTAAATGTACTACATTGAAATACTCATAAAGCAAACACAGCTGGCTAAAAATCTCACAGTGTATCTGGGAGCCTAACAATTTAAAAGCAGCTTGAATAAGTACACAAACAATAATACCAATTAATTTTTAATAGTCACGAAATTTAAACACCACCAGTGTTTCTGTAGTCAACACAGTCAAAAGATATGAGAAAAGCAGGTCTTGATTTTTTAAGAGTTGGTCAATTGAATAGTCTATCTTCACATATTCTTTTTGAATAAAAATATAAATAAATTTAATCTAAAATTTTCATACTTAGGAGAAACCCTGATGATTTTCTTTAAATACATAAAATAACTTTAAAATGTTACTGATTAATTTCCTGCATTTGCCAAGTCTCAAGCATGAAAGGACGACTGCAGACACATCTGCTTTATCCTGCTATACGAGACGCTGTTTCAGTCATGTTTTGGGTCAAACCTGAAGCTTCTGCTACCCTTTACATATAAAGTGAAGTAGCACCTATTTTGGGGAGATTTAGGTGGGTGTTTAGGTGAACAAATACCTGGTATTATAAATAACCTGTGAAATACAGGAGGTCTGAAACCACGGTACCCTTGTCACTCTTGAGCCCTGTCCTTGAGGCAGCCATCTTGTTGACAGGGGGTGTCAGCCATCTTGTTGAAAAACACTTCCAGCAGCTTTTCCCCATTTCTCTTTTTTTTTTTTTTTTAGAACAAGGCAGCAATTAACACCCAAACCTCATACACATAGTTTTTAAAATTTCACTCTTCTCAGATTAAATGATAATTTCTTCAGTTTGATTCTGGTCATTCCCTGCATCTGTCTGTACAATTAAAAACGAAGCAACATTAATGGTACTTCATACTGTATTAACCCAGTACCGAAATATTTGCTAAAAGATCCTAATGCTGGTCAGGCGTAGGCTGGTATTTGAAGAATAACCTGCTACCTTAGTAGCCAAACTATTAACCAGCACTAGTGAACCACATCTGTCGATTTGACTAATTCATGTAATGTTTTGTCTCAAAAATATCTTGGCTCCACGTGAAAGGTTATTTTTAATGTCACATCCCGAGATTCACAAACGATACACGCGTGTGCAGCAAAACCACCACTGCTAAGCATAAATGCCGCATTTTAGCCCCAACGCCTGAGGGAACGTCTCTGCACGTCTGGTACCGGTGTGCTGTCCTTCAGGCCGCGGCCATGTGCGCCCCGGCCTACGCCGCCCCGCGGGGCCTGGTGAGGCGCCAGCGCCCTCCCCTCGGGCACCCGCCGCTCCTTCACCACAGCACCCGCTGCCGCCTGACCTTCCCGGCGCGGCGGGGGATTAGCGGGCCCCGAGCCGCGGTCCCGCCGCACGCCGCTTCCACCGTCCACTCGGGTAAACAACCCCGGCGCGGCCCCAGGGAGCCCGCCCACCCGCTACTCCCCTCCGCCGGGGGAGCGAGACGCGTGTGGGCTCGGCGTGCCCAAGGGGGGACTGCATCTCCCAGCATACACCGCGCCGCGCGGCCGCCGTGCCCCTCGACTAACGCCACCTAGGACTACAGATCCCGGCATGCTGCGCGTCCCGCGCAGGCAAACGGCTTACCGTGCACCCCCGAGGACTACAGTTCCCGGCGTGCCCAGCGTCACGGGGCGGGGCTATGCAAACGCGGCCGGCAGCTGGGCGCTGCTGGGCGTAGCGGGGATCGCCGCGCGGGACCCGGGCGGCGGGGCACGAGCAGGCCGGTAGCCCGCTGCCGCCGCCGCTAGCCCGCCGCCCAGCCGCGCGCCAGCGCCAAGATGGCGTCCATGCTGCTACAGACCTGCGGCCGGCGGGCCTGCCGTCTGCCCCGAGCGCTGCGCCGCCAGCCCCGTCTGGGTGAGGCTCTGCGCGGG